TATGTCAGCTCTTCATCTGGACAATGGGGACAGTAACCAGCCATACGGTTGGAAGATAAATGTGTGAAGCCAGCCAAGCATGTGGAAGGAGGCCTTTCTGTCTCTGAAGGAGCTGGAGTCTTCCTTGTGCCCTGGACCATTGCAGTTCAGCATCCTGTCATGCTCTGGACCAGGGAGCAATGTGACCTCAGCTTCCCAAGAAATGGCAGTCCTCCATCTGCTAGTCAGTGTGTGCATGACACACAGCCCAGTGGTGAAATGACGCCACTCAGCCATAACTATCCCACAGCAGGGATAGGACAGCTCTGGTCCATTTCGTTTATGGAGAGCCATCAGGGAGGAGTGTCCACAGCAAGAGAATTTCCCAGTGACTCTAGTGCTTGCTGGAGTACGTGCTTCTGGCCAGCCTTGCAGAAGGTGGAGGACAGCACTCAGCTTCTGAGAGCCGTGGGTCCTCCTCAGGAGTCCTCCAGGTGCTCTGGTGTCAGCTGGACTCAGTCCTCTCACTAGTGCCACAGGGGCGGGGGTCTGCGCTCCTGCTCCGCCTTTCCCCTTGTCATCTGCTGCTGGTGGTCTCCACTGACAGCCTCTCCACTGTTGGGCCTCTGGGAGTCGTCTTTCTCCTGATGTGACTCCAGGCCTGACCTGAGATGGCAGTGGGCACTATGGCAGCTGCCCCTTTACTCTCAGAGGCTTTTTCATATGTGGCTCACAGCTGGGCTCCAACTAAGGTTCACATGGTCACAAATGCTGTAAGTCTACCTCCACCCATCCATATCAGCCTAACAATTTTTCCTGCATGCTGAGGATAAACCCGGCCTCTCCAATGCTAGGCACGCACCAGCACAAGTCTAACGACTCGATATGGAGCCTGTACTCTGGCCAGGCTTTGCGCTCTGGAAGAAAGTGTTGTCCACACACACAGTCACATGGTTGTCTCCTCTGGATCTCCTCACTCTTGTGTGGGTGCAGTAGGCACCCAAACAAGTTTGGATCTTGTTAAAATTGGCTCTGATTGTGAGCTGGGGCCTGAGAGTCTGCAACTCAAACTGGTCCTCACGGGAGGCCGCTGCGGTGTCATGGAGCAGGTCTTTCAATAGCGAGGTCTAGAACAAGATGTGCAGACTCAGAGGGGTGGCACTGTGCAGACCCCGGGAAATGGATGGGAAAGGGTGGGAATCACTCTTCAGGACTGGTTCCCTGCCCAGTGGCAAGTACTGTAAAAGTGCTGTTCGAGCTAGGATTACACGCCTGTAATCCTAGCTACTCAGGAGGCAGAGATCAGGAGGATCGTGGTTCAAAGCCAGCTGGGCAAATAGCTTACAAGACCCTATCTCGAAAAAAACCTAACACACACACACACACACACACACACACACACACACACATGCACCGCTGTGGAGTGGCTCAAGGTGAAGGCCCTGAGTTCAAGCCCCAGTACCCCCCAATACACACACACAAAGTGCTGTTCAGTCCCCAAGGAGACACGCCTGCAAGGCGTCCTAGGTAGAGGTCAGACTCCTGCCTTACAGTCCCTCATCTCAGGAGCTTGTGAGAACATGAGTCTGGCCACTTAGGGGCCTTCCATGACCAACCAAGTGATAGTCGCTGGCACAAATGTGCCAAGAGCAGGTAGCTGCTCCCATTCTCCAGCAGACCTTCTTAGAACTGGCTCAGCCACGGCCCAGTGGTGTGACCTGGAAGAGGAAGGAGCAGGGGTGGGGGTGGGGGGTGCGTGCGTTAGTACTGAAGTGCACACCATTCTGCACTCGGTACGTGATGGCACTCTGTCCCTCCGCCTTGCAGAATTCATCTCTCAGCCTCACTCTGTGGAGGACACTGGGTTTTTTTTTTAAGATAGGGTCTTGTGTTTATGCTCAGGCCAGCCTGGACTGTGATTCCCTTGTCTACACTTCCTGGGTAGCTGGAATGACAAGTGCCCATCACCACACCCAGCTGTTGTTGGTTGAGATGAGGTCTCGCTAATGTTTTGCATGGGCAAACCTCTGACTATAATCCTGCTGATCTCCGTCCCCAGAGTATAGGGGATTATAACCATGAGCCACCACACCTGACAAGGACATGGATTTAAAGAGGTGAGCTGATTTGGTTACAGTGACCCAGCTCCAGCATGGGGTTCAAACTCAGGACTCTTGGCCTCCATCTTTGGTCACTTGTGCTGCTATAGCCAAATACCTGAGCCTGGGTAATTTGCAAATAATAGAAATTTATTTCTCACAGCTTGGGAGGCAAGGTGCCAATAGGTTCAGTGTCTGGTGAGGACTTGATCTCTGTTTCCCTGATTGCACCTTGAACGCTGCATCCTCACTTGGCAGAAGGGACAGAAGGGTGAAAGAGGGCTGAACTCCCTCATTCAAGCCCTTTTAACTAATCACATGAATGAGTGTGAAGACCTCATGGCCTCATATCCTCCCAAAGGCCTCCCTTCTTAATACTTGGGAGTCACATTTCAACATGGCCATTTTGCAGATGCAAACATTCAAAGCATAGCAGCTTCCAGAGCCTTCTTTAAATGATACAGAGCTACTGCTGTCTGTGTGTGCCAGACACACTCATTATTCTAATCTTACAAAACCTTGCAAAGTATGTATCATCATTCCATTTTACAGACTAGTAAACTGAGGCACAGAGGTTAAATAACCCACCCAAGGACACAGACAGTGGTGGGGCTAGTGACCTTCTAATGGCCACACTCCCTATGCCGTGTTGCATAGGGGTCAAATTCTACGATTGCCTGAGTATGAGGTTACCAGAGGTGAGAGTAGTTCTTCAGCTTCTTTTCAATTGCTGTTATCAAGATGTAGTCATTCTGAACCTGGCAAGACATGGACGTTCACCTACCCTCACCCTCGACCTGATAAGGACATAGCCTTCAAACACGACAATGAGAGCTGGGGCAAAACTCTGTGCTGCTTGCTGGAGCTGTACTGAAGTGACTGTCAGACTCCACAGCGACCACAGGACTCAATATTTTTTTCCCGCATCTCTGAAGTGTCTGTGACTTGGGAGGACATGAGCTACAGGAAGTGTGAGTTTCTGAGAAGCTGTGGGGTTTGTTTGTTTGTTCCTTTTATGACTAGGGATAAAAATTATAACCATATGGTGGGTGATGGGGAACAGCCCTGTGTTCCAGCAACACACATGTATACACATGTGTGCACACGTGCACATGTGCAGAGGAGTGAGACATTCTGAATCACCCTTAGGAATCTGGGTCATTCACCTTGAAGGAGTTCAAGCTCCAAGTGTGTCTTTCAAACAGCTTCTGTATGGGAATTAGTGAAATGGAGCCAGGGCCTCCCCTGCACTTGGTCCTTGGGTCTCAGACACCCCTGGCAGACATGTCATTAAAAGGGAGTCGGAGGGGACCTGGGGAAGGTTGTACTCATTTAGCTGTGGCAGGGGCCCCAGCACTTTGTGACCAGAGAAGGTTTTGTTTAGCTCAGTAAATGTCTCCCAGGAAAATCTCTCCCTAGGCTTGATTTAATATGAACCCTAAATACTCCGACTCAGATGAGCAAGAATTAGAGCAGTGATACGGCAGCCACGATTAGAATACACTAGAGAAAAAAGCCGTTTTCCTCCAGGTCCCTGGGCATCGCCCTCCCATGCCTGCTTCACGGCTTCACACCTGGATTGTAACAGCAGCCCCCTGGGCTGGGCATCCCCGGCTCCCAGACCCACTGAGCTCTCTGGGCTTCTTTGTGACCTGTGCTGAGTGCTTGAGTCCTCTCAGGCTGATGTCCCTCCCGCTCCAGTTGCGGTGGGGCCTCCCTCAGGACACCTGTCAGAGGCAGACTTGGAACCAACTCACCTGGGAGCCAAGACAGCAGCTCCCCACGGCTGGCAGGTGTGGAATCCATGTCTGGTGTCTGCAGCTGGTTCCCTCCACAGAAGCACATGAGCCATGGAGAGGTTTCTGGGACTTTTATTTGTACTCTTTATTATTATTGTTATTTTTAAGCCAGTGAGGATAGGCAAATACTTGATCCCTTTTAGGCTGCACTCCTCCTTGGCCAATCCCGCCCACCCCCCTAGCTGCCCCTTCCCACCTGCCAGCAGCTCAATGTCACCTGGGATGAAAGACACAGTCCAGGCCCAGGAAGAGGGGTGGTGGGGGCCCAGCACCCCTTGGGGTAAGCTCTAATGGCACCTTCCCTGGCTGCTCCCTTCCTGTCTGACGTCCTGTTGGAGGAGCAGGGGGATTCTGAGGCCCTTTCCAGCCTTCACTTCCTTCTCAGCTGAGATGCCCACAAGTGTCTGGGCTTTCTGTCCCTAAGCACAGAGGAAAGCCCAGGTGGTTGGCTCTCAGGCACCCACCTCCAATCCCAGCCTCTGCCTGTAAACACCCTTTCCCAGCAAGAAAGTTCCTGCCTCAGACAGAACTGCCTTGAGGGTAAAGTGAGGCCAGGAGGACCAGCTCAGAGCTGTGATGCTTAAGTTCCCGCCTCAGGGGTGTTTGTTCTTGGGGGCCCACTCCCCTCCCTCAGGAGCATCTCCTCCAGCTCTGGCCCCCTTTCTTTCACATATCTTAGGAGCGCACCTGGGTGGCCAACTCCAGTTTTTCTTCTGCAGTCAAGGTGCTTTCCTGGCCCAGTACCCTGGCCTTCTTGTCCCCAGCCAGCTGCCTCCTTGGGGAGTCCCCACAGCTGGATCACAGCAACAGAGCTCCTGGCAGCAAAGCCTGGCCATTTTCGTCTCAGTGGGCACTTAGAAATTTGCAGAATTGGGAGGGCAGGGCCCCCAGAGGCGCCAGATGGCACAGGTGTGCAGGTCTCAGGAGGCGTGTCTCCCTCCTCCCTTACTGTTCCCCCTCCTCTCTTCCCTCGCCTCTTTTCTTTCTTCCTCCTCTTCCTCCTGCTCTCTTTTCCCACTCTTTCTCCCCTCCTCCTCGTCCCCCTTCTCGTCCCCCTCGTCCCCCTCCTCCTCCTCTGCCGCCCGCCCCGCCGCCGGCCTCGTGGGGCAGGGGAGGGCGGGCGTCAGACGCTGTGCGCGCCCAGGCTGAGCACCGAGAAGGCGGCGCGGTGCTTCCGGAGCAGCAGGCGGATCTTCTCGTCGTCCGAGTCCGGGTCGAGCGGCTTGTTGTACTCGTCGTCCTCGTTCTCCGAGGCCGCGCGGTCCCCGCCCGCGGCGCCCGGACCCCGAGGCGTGGAGGAGGACGGCTCCAGCGCGCTCTTCTTCCTCCACTTGGTCCTCCGGTTCTGGAACCACACCTGCGGGGAGGACTCGGGATCGCACGCGTCCCCTGGGCGCCTCCACTCCGCCCTTCCTTTTGTGGGGAAAATCAAGGGCTCGATCATCGAGGACTAAGAGTCATTACTGGAAGGGGGCAAGAAAATAAAAACTGCGTGCCACAGCCCCTGCACTTCTCTGCAACCCTCCCTGGAGGACAGCTTTCTTCTTGTTCCCCCATGGGGCACTTGGTGGAAGCAAGGGTTTAAGCCCAGGGGGCCACATCGGGCGACAGAGGCATTCCTGGCACTGTGGTGTGGCCCATGTACAGCGCATGCGTAGCACGCACAGGCTCACTGCAAACATAAATAAATGTATATAAACAGAGGTGTCCCTCTTCTTTTAGCTTCATAGACCCTCACTGAACTCCATGAATAATTCCTCCCTAATTAGAACGGAACAAGTACAATGCTTGAGATGACTGAAGACTGCAGACACCCAAGGAAGTGGTAGAGTGTGTAAGAGCCGCACTCCCTACGCTCCATTTCCACCGTTTCCATCCAGCGACAGTGAGTCGGCCACAGAGCCTAGTGGTTCACTGACAATGTCTGGGCAGACCTGGGGTCCCAACCAGTCCCTGCACTGAACTGGGCAGTTCTAGTGAGGCTCGAGGCTTTCTTCTTTGATGTTCCCACCCAAAGTGTCTGGGGACAGAGTAGTGGCAAAGTTGGAAAAGTTGCCCCCAGGAGCGTGAGGAGGTAGAAGCAGGACTGGAGGTGCACTTAGAGGTTACTTCAGCCCCCAGATGTGTTCTGCCAGAGCTGCCTGCCCTCCCTTGGCACATGGGCTGCCAGGTTTCCTACCGTGTCTGAGCCATCACAGCCTCCTTTGCGTGGGCAGGAGTAGAGGAGGCATAACGTTCATTTTAAAGATTGGTAAACTGAGGCCAACTCCTTTTGCTGACTAGTGGATCAAGCTGGAAGCCAGTTCTAATCTGCCCCAGGGGCTCCTGGGGGCACTTGGGATTCCAGCATGAGGTCAGAGTCCCACAGATCTGAGTTTGAGGCCCAGCTCTGCCCTTACCAGTCAGGAAGCCATGAGCAAAGGGCTCAATTGTGATTCTTGTCATCTGCAGACACCACAGTGACCTCGAGGGTGCTGCGAGGATAAAATGAGGCACTGCATACAAGCTCTCAGAAGAGGAATCAGTAGATGGCAGACGGGCTATCGCTAACTGCTGGAATCTCTAGGGTTGGATGCCCAAACCTCAGGATGACCTCCCACGAGGAGCTGTGATTTATTGGGAAGGCAACTCTTAGGCAGTGGCCTCCTGCCCCAGCAGGCACCTTCTCCTGCAGACTCACCTTGACCTGTGACTCAGTCATGCCCAGCGAGTATGCCAGTCTTGCCCTCTCTGGGCCAGCCAAGTACTTGGTCTGCTCAAAGGTTTTCTCCAGGGCAAAGATCTGGTGCCCCGTGAAGGTGGGCCGGGTGTGCTTTTTCTTATGGATGCTGTCACTCAGGGGGTCCGGGGCTGATGGGGAGAAAGGAAATGGAGTTAACGGGGTGCTTGGGGGACCTGGGGAGCATGCACTGCCTGCAGGGTACCAGCCCTGCCTTGCCTCTCCCACAGGGTGAGCTCCCTTCCAGCGGAGAAGCCACTGAGATTGCTGGAGCATGGTGACATCTACCACCTCAGCAGCATTCTTGACATCTGAATAACAATGACCTCTGCCATGTGTGCCACCTGAGAGAGCAGCTGCCCAGGTTCTAGCTATTTAGGGACAGCAGGGTCTCATGCCCTTCTGTCTACTGTTCTCATGCATCAATGATACTTCCTTCCCCAAGGGACAACAGGAGTTTCCTCTCTGTCCCAAGACACCAAAACAAGGATGTCCCTTCATGTCACCAAGAAAAGAATTGACTTTCTCTATCTGCAAAGCCCCAAGGCTTCCCACTTCTTTGCACCAGAACCGCAACTTCCCAGGTCTGTTGGAAAAGCAAGGAGAGACCAGCCCCAAGGTGCCACCTCTCCGTACCCCCAGACTAGATGTTAGATGTTAGAAGTCACTGGAGCAATTTGGGACCCCCCCTGACTGGCTCAGGAAGGAGCTTGGGGTTGAAAACTTGTCATGCATCAGGCCTTGGTCAGTACAGTTCAACAACCCAGGAGGGGAGATTGAGGCACAGAAAGAGAAAGAGATCTCTCGCGGGACCATCATCTTAGCCCTTCAGTCCTTTGGCCTTACTCTAGGTGCTGCCTTTTTTAGCTCTTTTCCAGTGGGTATACATGGTGTGGAGGTGAGGGGAGGGGTAGAATAAGGGAGGGACAACTTGAGGTTTTTGGCACCTCCCCTTTTTAGTCCCCACTTTCAGGCAGGGGGAGGGTGGGCCATCAGGCAGGATAGCTGCCCAGTAGTGTGGCAGGTTTGAGACAAGTATTTTTGGGGGGTTTACGGGGTTGGCTCAGAAGCCCTATTGCAGTGGGGAGCCCAGAGGTCAGGCACAGATGGAGGTCTCTCTGATTCCTTCCCCCAGATCTGGCCAGGGCTGTGGTGGCACAGAAATAGCTCCTGGAGCCACTGTCACTGTTTCCCTCCCTCCCAGGTGAACCTCACCTGCCTGTGTCTATCCCGGCCATCTCCTCTGGTCCCTGATTAACATCACAGGCACCTCGAATAAGTTCTTTGAAAGCTGAGGAACAAGGTGCGAGTGAGGTGCGCCCTACCAGCAGCCAGGGCCAAGTTCAGCTGGAGGCTGGGCTTTTGTCACTGCTACTGCTATGCAAGCCCTGAGGAGGGTGGTACATGCTCCCTCCATCACAGGCAAGGCGTCAGTGACATCAGAGTGCATTCGGTGCCCCCGAATGATGCCAGGCATGAGTGGGCTTTTTGGGAATGTGACACGGTGTCACGTTTTACTCACTAGGGGTAGGAGGTGCCTGCTTTGGATGAGGAAGGGGTGACACAGGCTCTGGGCAGAAGGGAGCTGCCATCTGGACACTGCATGGCCTTCCCTGGGCCTGGAATGCTCAGGGTTCCTGGGAGGGCAGCAAGGTGATAGTGGGTGACATGGGAGTCACACAGCTGTGCCAAGCAAAGCCAGAGCAGGAAAGGGAGAGGGTGGAATTCAGGCCTGCCCCGAGCTGAGGAGATGGACCAGGCACCTAGGCCACTATCTTTTGTGGCTGTGTGAGGCCCTGCCTGCCTCCTGCCTCCTCTCTGACTGGCCAGGCTGGGGGAGACCACCCTGGTACTCACTGTTGCTGCATGGCCGCCCGCCTCGCCAGTCCTGGCTGGTGTCTGCCCAGCAATTCCGGCTCCGGGTGGTGTACTCGCTCCCAGACTTGGAAAAATTCCCCATCTGGGGGCCATAGTAGACTCCCTGGGAGCCCAGGCCTCCAAAGCCTGCCACGTGGGGGTAGCTGGAGAGCAGGCCACTGTTCGGCGTGGCTACGGGTCTGCTCAGGATGTCCGTGATGCCGTGGGGGGTCCCGGCGGCCAGCTGGGGGCCCAGCCCCGGAGGGCTGAGCTTGTAGAAGGAATTCTGCACGGAGTACTGGCACACGGGGGCCTTCATCTCCGAGAACTGGGCCAGCGGCGTGTTGTTCAGCAGGAACGTCCCCTGCAGGTTGGACTCCATGTCTCCAGGTCAGGGAGAAGGGCAAGGAGAAGCCCAAGTGCAGGTCCCTAAAGCCCAGGACCCCAGAGTGCGGCCCCTGGTCCCATGGCAGGTTTGGAGGGTCGGAAGCAGCCCGAGCCTGACTGCCCTCCACCTAAGGCATCCGGCCCAGCCCTTGCCCAGGGACTGGGCGCCCACGTCAGCTGCTCGGAAGTCAGGTGCGCAGCGCAGGTGGGGGGGCGCAGGAGGCCTCTGTGCCTGCCCCGGCTGGACAAGGGTGCTCCCCACGCTCAGCGCAGCCCCCTCCTCTGCCTCCGGGTCTGAGGACCCTCCATGAGAAGTTTGAAGTTCAGAGAAGGGACATTTCCCTGATAAAGATATGGCCTATTAGAATACAGACCCGAGACTGGCTGAGCTGTGAGAGCCGCGCCGCCATTGGTCCGATTGCACACGGGCCTCACATTGGCTTTGCCTAGACAAATTGCACTTTGAAAGATTGACTGTAAGACAGGGAGTGTGCGAGTGTGTGAGTGTGTGAGTGAGTGTGTGAGTGTGTGTGTAAGAGAACAGGGAGAATTAGCTCTAGAAGCTGCGTTCTTCATCCGAGGCTCCACCTGCTGCCCCCAAGTCCAGCATCTAGGAAAAGGTGGGTGACCCCGGGTCCCTGGAGGCTTCTGTGGCAGTTGGAAGTCATAGTCCTTGCAGCTGTTCCCCTGAGGGCGAGAAGGCAGGACTCAGGTCACTGCCCTGAGCTGCTCCGGCCTCCTTATGTGCTGATGCCCAAGCTCTGCAGAACACGGCAGCTTCTGCTTTGCTTCCCTTCCTCCAGCTAGGATGGGGTAAGTGGAAAGGATGCTAATCCCTGTGACTGTCATGAGAGCTTGCTGGGCAGATGGGGTCAGGGGGTGGGCAGTGGGCAGCTCTGTGTGGTGGGTGTGTGCGTCTTCCTGCTTCTGAGGCTGAAGAGAAGGGTAGCGGCTGTGCAGCTCCTCTGCCTCTGGGCAACTTTGTCTGATCCCCTTGGTCACAAAACCTTCCACCTTCTGTCTAGTTGGTGTCTGTGTGAAAGCCTCTGACACCGAGAGGCTCTCTGCTTCGGCAGTGGAGGCCTGTGCTGGGCGCTTGGTTCAGGCTTAGTAAATATTTGCCACATGGGATTGGATTGAACAGCAAAGCACCCATCTGCTCTTTTTTTTTTTTTTTCTCTCTGATAAGTTTTTACACTATATGACATAGAGGGTACAATACCGTTCTCCTGGGGGAATCTCTCATTTAACAAACAGGACACAGGTGCAGAAGAATCAGAGACCACTGTCCATGAACTGGGTCTATTTCTGTTTGGGTGGCATTCTTTCCTGAAGTTATTCTCTAAAATGGAAAGCAGCAATGCCACTTGTCTGAGCATGCATAATGACAGGAAAAATAGTGACTGTTAGAAAGATGGACCTCTGCCCTTCCTCTGCCTGGCAGCCCTAAAGCCGTTTCTGACCAGGCTGTGGTCTCTGCAGGGCCGGCTCCCTTACCACACATGGGCTGTGCTTTTGCAGGTAGGAGACAACGGCACACCTTTGCCGGCCTTCTTGGGGTGGATCCCCTTCTCTCGCTGATCTTTGAGTCATCTTTTTGATGACATAGATTTAGGGCAATGCACAGAGAACCTAAGGGTGTGGAGATGATCTTGTTACAAGTTTAGATTAAAAACAATAAAATATTTTTTAGATTAAAAACAATAAAATATTAACGGAGTTAATTATCTCCGTTGGCTTTGTCATGTATCACAACTATTTTGGGAACTTAATTGATTTCCAGGGATGCCACCCCACCCCAAGGCAATTGTGAGTCTGAAAGTCTTTTTAAAAGCCCTCTGGGTAATGCAGATGTGTACCAATGATTAGCTTATTGGAGGGAGGGCATGTGGGGGCTTTAAGATTTAGTGAGAAGCTTGGGGTGAGGGCTGGAGACTGGAACTTGATTACAGGAATTTATGAAGAAGGAAATCTGCTGTGTGATTCAATTCTTATTTAATGCCATGGCTGACAAAGGTGTCTGGGAATCCCAACATGATAAACAAGAGACTTCAGCAACTGATTCATCCATTCCCCCGTTTTACAATGAGGAAACTGAGGCCGGTGTGGTGTTAGTGAGTAGTTCCCAGTTTCTTTTTATAGCAAGGGCAGGTTCTTGGACGCTGTAAGGCATTGAGTACAAGGGCTAGATGCCTGACTGGGGTGAGCCAGGAGGCCCTCTCAGTTTGTGCCGGCTGCAGGCCTGGCCAGATTCCCTGGTGGTTTAGGGGTGCCTCCTCTCACACCTTTGATTTCTCCCCATCTCAAGGTAGCTTCTAGGGAGAAGAGAAATCTGCTCTGCCACGCCTCTGGGGGTGCCTCCCAGGGTGGTGGTCCTGTTTAAGGGGTTGTCCAGGTTTCCAGGAGGAGCTGGGCATTGGTGGACCCCCTCACATCCCAACCCAAGCTTGCCTCAAACCCCAAGGAGGAGCCAGGAAGGAAAGCTGGAGCCCGAGTCATGAGTCAGTTTCTTTATTAATTCTGACATTAATTCAGCTGGTGTAGGGAGAATGGTCTATACATCAGAGTGAGGTGGAATTTCTCTCCCAGTAACAGAGCATGTGGGAGAGTCAAGAAATGATTCATTTTTCATAACAGTTAAAAAAATCAAGGTAATTCCAAAACTTCTAAAAAGCGTCTAATGTGCAGACTGCAGCATTCTCTAGGCATCAAGTAGAGACCCCAGACTCCTCCTAAACAGCTCCTACTAGCAAAGGGAGCGCGCAGCCATGCCACCGGGGCCGGGCGGCGGGCCAAGCAGCCATGCCGGGCGGAGCGAGGGTGCCAAAGCGTAGCCTGGGGCCGGGGCCCACGCGGGCCGCTAAGAGGGGCTACTGGGTCGGCGGCGCGGCGGGGCGGGGCGCTCGGTGTCGCCCCGCGCGGCGGAGCCCGCGGCTGCGCAGAGCCGGCGCGGCGAGGCGCGGGGGGGCCGGGCTCGGAAGGAAAAGCGGACCCCGCCGCGCCGCGCCACGCCGGCCAGGGGACCAGCCGCAGGGGCGCGGACATCGGGGCGCTTCTGTGCTACTTGGAAGGTTGAAACGTGTCCCGAGGACACCTCCGAAGAGCGGCAGAGGAGGAAGGTGACTGGACTCGCCACAATGGCTCTAGGAGAGCGACAAGAGCCTGCCAGTCTCTGTCCTGGCCCTGGGAGGGGCGCCCGCCCGGGCTCGGCGGGGCGGGATTGTGCTGATTCGGGCCTCCCTCTGCCGGAGGCTCTAGTGTGACTTTAAGGCTCTTCCCTGATTGGCACCGAGGCGAGGAACAGCCCGCTGTCAGTTTCCTTCCTGGCCGGGAAGCCTGGCCTGGGGCGTCTCTTGCCCAACCCTTGGCCTCCCGGTGACCAGAAGCTCCAGCCTCCTCAGAGGAGCGTGGTCAGAGCCCAGGCTCCGGGCTGCCCAGCCGGGAGCCCAGTGCCCGCACCCGGACCCCAGCCTGCGGGCTGCCTGGACTTCGAGCACCAAGATGGCTCTAGGAGACCTTAGGGTGGTCCTGACGTCTAGGAACTGGCAGATACGTCCACTAGCCTACTCCCTTCCTTCCTCTTTCACTGAAAGACAGCCTGTAGCTCCTTCTCCCGCAGCCGGAGAAGTCCTCAGGAGCTGCTTTGTACATACTGCTAAGTGTTTCTATTGGTTTGCATAGTATTTATTGTTTTCATATACACAAGGCTTATTACTGTACAGTTTACACTTTGAACACAGACTATGATAGAAGTGCGTGAAGATATAGAAAACCTCTTCTCTATGGAACATGCTGGTGCGATCCTGGGACAGCCACCGGCTCTTTCCCAGCTAAGACCTCCTTTTGGAGCCCTGCAGCTAAGCCTGGGGTCCTTGCCTCAGATTCTAAGTCAATAACACAAGGAGCCCCAAGTGCACTCTCAAGTGATTTCCCTTTGGAAGATGATAAATACTGAATCTGGCAGAGAGAGACATTAAAAAAAAAAATCCAGTTTATCCACTGGAGATCCTACACAGCTTCAGAGGTCACGGTAAAATCAGTGCGTAGACTGAGTGACAGGGAGAGGCATATGTCCTGAAAGTCATGTGGAGTGTTCTGAGAGGAGCAGTCCTCTGGGGAGGGGGAGATTGTCAGAAATGGAGTGCAGGTGTGTGTGAGGGGCAGGGCCTGGCAGATGAGGACATGGGATTAAGGTGCTAAACTGATTTCATGCCTAGTTGCCATTCGTTTTTCTTTCCAGGAAGCCCACATGGATTTCTTACAGATGAGGTTGAAAAAAAAAGTACCCTGTGTGAAGTCAAAACCAAAGCAATTAAAAAACAAACCCCAAACCATCCCCAGCCACAAAAGAGCCCTTATATTCACTTTTGCATCATGCCCTCTCTCATACTTTTCTATCCCTCTCTCTTCTCCCATCTTCTTGCTGCCTTTGTCCTGATTCCTGACAGAGATCCACCATTGCTAGAGGCAGGATTGGAGACTGCAGGTCATGCGTGTACAGTCAGTCGTTCATGCGAATAGGAGACTAAAGGAAGTCCCTTACAGAGGTCATGCCGTGAGCCTAGAGGGGCGTGTGCAGTGCTTCTGTAGCCCTCGGTCCAGCTCTCCTCCTGTGTGCATGGCAGAGTGTGTGAAGCTCAGGATTTGGGTGTCGAGGTGTGACCCTGAGGACACAAAGAAAGAGTCACTTAGAACTTAAAGGTGCAACTCCCAGCAAAAACCCCAAATAGGGTTTTGTGCTGGCTGCTCAGGCAGGGTCTGGTCAGGAAAAGCAAGCTTCCTAAGCAAGGCGATGAGCAGACTGGTGTGCTCACATGCACCATCCATCCTTCTGTGCTCCCTGTCCAGAGGTAGCAGGCAGTGCTGACCACCAGTCTCCTCTGGTTTGGTGGAAAGCCACGAACCCTTGGGAAACCTGTGTGTGAGAACAGTGCTCTCGGGAGCAGGCAGCAGAGGGCTCCCTGCCTATGAAGCTGCAGGTAGATTCCTGTGCTTAGTTAGGAAGCGGCCATTTTCATGAGCCAGGACCTGTGCCAAGAAAGAGGCGAGGCTAGGCAGTGGTGCCCTCTACTTTCACCAACAAGTGTGGATATCTCCTATGAGCCTGCTCTGGGGAACTTGAAGTGGCACAGATACGATTTCTGGCCTTCTGAGCTCATGGCCTCAAGGGACAACAGCTCCTGTTGGGTTCTAGTCCACAAGCCCCTCCTGTCAGGTGCCCCTGGCCCCTATCCCCATGCCTTGGTGGGGACAAATTGTTAAGACAGAGGTCTTTGAAAGGAAGAAATATTCTCCCTAGAATATTATGTGTCTTAGGCTGGGGAGCAGCATTTTAGCCTGTGGGGCAAAGTTCAAATCCTATAGCCTGAGATTCACACAAGACAGCACTCCTGCCTCCCCACCACCCCTGCCATGGGGTCTCAACCTCCAGCCTGGTGGGAAAACACCATTTTTTTCAAAAGCAGCCACTCAAGATTCTGTTTGCAGGGATCTAGAGACAGAAGTGGAAGAGGAGGAGATTTTAAAAAGAGGAGCTGACAATATTCTGGGTGTGTCAGAAAGTGACAACAAAAGAGCAGGAAGGCACTCTGAGGCAAAATTGTCCCCAGACTTAGAGCAATTTTGGGCCCTAGAAGACAGGGCTTGGGGAGGTATGCCAGCCATGACCAAGTTGAATTGAATTCTGAATGCTGCCCAGGGAGAGGAGGGTGGTGCTAAGGGCCTTGCTAGAGGATGCTGGGATGCTGCAAAACCAGGTACCTTCTGCTGGACTTCAGGGTGCTGTCCCCTGGCAGGACCAGGCTCTGCTCCCTACCTGGGCCCCCCCTTAGCTCAGCCCAGTGCCAGGCCTTGTGAGCCTAAAGTACATTCCTGCTCTCTGCCTTTGACTTTGACTCTTCCATCAAGACTACTGTCCCCTTTCCTCTCTGCCCAAGTTCTGCCCTCCTCCCTCAAGACCTGTCTACCTCGTGCTGTTAGCTACAGAACATCAAAGGGTGTCGTGGTCAAAAACTGAACTCTGAATCCAGACTGCTCAAGTTCAAATCCTGCATCTGCTACAATTACCTGCTGCCTGACCTTGGTCAACTTACTTACCTGTTCTGTGACTTAGTTTCCTTTGCCATAAAATGAAGGTAGCTATAGGACCTACCTCTTTAGATCATTATAATGTTTGAAAAGCTAATGATGGGTCCCTGAAGTGCCAAAGATGGGGCATTCTGTGCATGTGAACTATTCCTGGGCTCTCTGGCAGTGTTACCATCTTTGTTCTCATTCCTTGGTGGAGTTATGAACACTCTGGGAATAGGAACCCCTTCTTGGTTTTCCCGTGATGCTTACCCTAGTGCCAAACACTCCTCAAATAAGAGATGACATGAAATCTGGGGCTTGGGAAGGAGGCTAAAATCTCCCACCTACTTTTCTGCCCAGGTGAGCAGAGGAGAAGGGTTGAGCTGTAAAGATCATGCTGGAGTAGTTGCCCACTTTGTTTTGGGATAAACTGAGGTACAAGGGAGCAGAAATACATCCAGTTGGAGCAGTAGGCAGCACAGGACTGGGATGAGAATATCATCCTCCTCCTCTCCAAACCTGCTCTCCTGAGAAAGGTCCACCCCTCCAAAGCCTAGGAAACAGCTCCTTCTGCTTTGAGTGGCTGCCCAGCCAGGATCCTCTCTTCCTTCCCTGGTGCTGGGGCACCTGGCTCCACCCCTACCCAGTGCTCCTGTCCCCCTTGACCTCTGACTCTAATGTGCTGGCAGTGGCTGGGTAGAATGGTGACACTAGGTGAAATAAAACAAAATGTACCTTGCCCCCCCAGTCTCTCCCATTGAGACTATGGATTACTTTAAAACTTCTAAAAATATTCCATTGTCACAGCTAATGGAAACCTTGCAAGCACACAATCGGAATGGAAGGTGATCCTCAAAAAAGGAAACAAAGAAAGACAGACTTTTCTCCCACAGCTCCCAGAGTGTACCAGAGGACAGAGCTATGTGCCCAGGCTCCTGGGCACCCAGAGGGCAGCTGTGCTGCTTCTGCTTCCAGCTGCCATGCTCTACATTGTCCCTCCACCTGCTACTGTCCGCCCCAATCATGTCTTAACAGCAATGTTCCAGTCAGAAAGCTCCGTTTCCCTCCAGCCTCAGACGCAGAAGCCTTCTTCCCAATGCTGAGGGTGATAGGGGTGGGGGTGGGGCAGGAGCAGACTTTGTCAGGATGGCGGTGTCCTGCCCTGTGGGGGTGTTCCACATCTTCACACAAACTTTAACCACTGTTCACTCCAGTTTGCCTTTTAGATATGACATCTGCAACTGGGCCACATCACTTCTAGGAGGTTTGGAGAGGAGAGCCAAAATAAGTCATGATAACTCAATTTTCAGTGTGCCTAAAAAAATCACTTGAGCAGTTCAATGTAATTTACCGAGCTCCAGGCCCAGGAGGACTAGGGCAAGGACCAGGAATCCACAGGTTTCCTACCCTGTTTTTCCTTTTGGTGCTGGGGATGAACCCATGGCCTAGCACATGCCAGGCAAGCAACTCTACCTCTGAGCCAAACCCTGGGCTCCGGAGTCTTCACTTTAATGTGTGTGGGATACAGGACTGTGCTTAGCAATTTGACAATTTGTAAAGCCCTTTCACAAACATAAGCTCATCAATCATCTTGGCCGTTCTGTAAGGAAAGGGCATTATTGCTACTGTATGGATAAAAACCTGAGGCTTAGGGAGGTCAATTGACTTGCTCTGAGTCACACTACCACTGAAATCTGTCATTGATTGAGTGCCAGAGTAAGTATGTTCTTATTTACCATCCATTATTTGAGGACTTTTTTTTGGTGCTGGGGAAAGAATCCAGGGCCTCATACATGCAAGGTATGCACGCTGCCACTGAGCTACACCCCCAGCCCTGCACACTTTTTAAAACTGAAGTGCAATGCACATTCAGAAGGCACTATTTGCATCCTCACTTGAGGAGTCTGAAGGTTGGGGTAGGTGAATGACTTGTTTAAGGTCACACAACCTGAAAATAGTAGGAGCCAGGCCTTGAATCTAGACTCCCAAGGCCAGCTTTCACTTTCTGAAAAAAATATAGGTGACTATCATTGTTTGCAGTATAGTCATATTATATAGTTATATTATATATAGTTATAGTATACTATACATATATAGTATGAAGTGTCTGTGAACACTGAATTAGTGAATACTGAACCATTGCTCCAGTTCCTGTGAGTCTGTGCTCACATTTTCATCAATCAATGAATACACAGCCTTGTTTTATTCAAGTTTCTATTTAAAGTCTCCTTGTTTGATATGTGACTACCTCATTAACCTTCACCTCTCCACCAACAGCTCTATAACTCATCCCTTAATGAAGCCTTTTTAACACGTGTATTTTCTCTGAAAGGCACATTGCAGCCTTTTTGCACTTAGAAACACCAGAGAGAACATCAACACAACCCTGAGAGACCATTTTAAGCAGTAAAATCACCAATAAAAAGCACAGAAATGCACCCCATCTGGCACTAACTAGACCACAGAAAGGATGCTCAAGTACAGTGTGAGAGCTGAAACAGGCAGAGCACACCTTGCTCTGCTCAGCTGGGAAGGTGCATGTCTGTTGGGTGACTCAAATTCTTTACCTTTGTTACATACCTGTGAATGGCCACAAAAGTATGGTGAGTACTGGCTTTGGGTTACAAGTAAATTTTAGCAAACAGGTATCTACCTGAATAATAAGGATCTAGTGTCCACGCTTATAAGTGGGTGGTAGTATTAAGAATCAGACAGCCTGCAAGCCTACAGCTCCTTCACCGTGTTTTCTGAAGCATTTGATGTCAATGGGAGGGTAAGCATTTCCTGCTTCCACCAGCCCCGACTCTTTGGGACCCAGGCAGGAGTCTGTGTCCATGCTGGCTCCCTTATCACTGTCCCCCACCACTAGGTCGCCTTGCCTTTTGTTGGCAGAGGGCCCAGCACTGTCCCGGAGCCAGGCTGCAATGTGCTCCTGACACCCACACTCATGTGGTCTGGTCACCTGGTGGTGGTGGGGGGGTTGACCTCTTTGCAGATCATCTATAGCAAACTAAAAGAAAAAAAAATTTCTAGGTTCCCTTCTGCCTCCTAGCTTTGGCTTCCAGACTGCCTGTACCCTGCTCAGGACATCATTAGAACCTGAAGCTCAAATTTAAAGCCACTGCTGCTGGTACTATAAAATAAGGCAGGAGAGTGTACTTTTCCTTTTTCTCTCCTTTGAAAATTTATTTGTACTTTCAGATTATTTCCAGTTCCTCACCTCAATTAATCACAGCTTTCTAAGCCAGAAGTCAGGTGGGCCCCCTGGCAGCACTGGGGTTAATGCTGTAGCCTCCTTAAGCTGCTGAGGAGTCAGGTCTAATTTTATCCTCGGACTGGATCACCAGTCCTCTTTTTTTTGCCCAAGTGCTGAGATATGTTGGGAAGTCCCAAGTCAGCACTTCTGGTGGCTCAGAAGATAGCAGGCCCTGCTGCTTGGCCCCAGAGCCTGGGAATTTGGATGGCAACAACCCAGTTAGTGCTGTGTGGGGCACGATGCGTCTGGCTCCCTGCTGACTCCCACCCCGATGCATCCTGTACTGAGCTGCCCCGAGCTGGGCACAATGAAGGGCCTCGGGGCAGCTCAGTACAGGATCCCTCAGGGAGGGCGGAGGTCATAGCTGACTGCTGGAGCCCCTCACCGCAAATCACAGCACACACCTGTCCCATGCTCACACTCACCAACACTCACCATGCATAGCTGCCCAGCCCAACCCCAAACACTGTCCTGACATTCCAGGGAAGATGCTATTCACCCTTTGTGCCTGTTAGCCCCTTCCTAGAAAGCAAGGGAACAGCCTGCTCCATGAAGAGCCAAGGAGAACCTAAGCCTGGGGATGGTCAGGACTTCAGTGGGTTCCAGGTTCAAGGGACAGTCCAGCTCTAAGTCCTGGAGCTCTTCCTGGGTTCTATTGTTGGAGTTTTGCAGCCCAGATGACTTCTCCTATGCCCTCTGGTGCCCGTCCACCAACTCTAGAGCCCCACTTCCTAGTTTCCAAGACAGATGACTACTTATATTCATGGAGTGCCTTTCCCTCATCAAAGCATTGCTTTAAAACTATATGGGAGCTGGGGTGTGGCTCAGTAGCAGAGCTCATGCCTGGCACTCATGAGGCCCTGGGTTCCATTCTCAGCCCTGGGGCTGGGAATCTAAAAAACTGCATTTGTGCCCTACCTGAGAGACAGGCCAAGGAGATGGTATTGTTTTCTTAGTCTGTGCTTCTGATGCTCAAGTTGGGGGTGTGGGAGTCCCTGTGCATAGTGTGTAGGTATTTGGGGGGGGGAGCTACCCTGGGAGCTGGGGAGCCGGCGGAGGAGAGCAGCACTTCACTGAGGACTAGGCCATGCAGAGGATGAGAAAGCCACTGTTACCTCCAGAGAGGCTACTCCGAGGAGAGGCTCGAGTGATATCACTGCTTGCCCCTTTTCAGGCTGGCCCGCTTCACTATCTGAGCCCCCTTCCTGCCCTCTATCAGGTCGGGCTGTAGACCACTCCCTCTCAGCTCCACCTGGAGATGGCAGCAGAGACAGAAAGCAGAACAGATCACACATAGACAAGAAAAAAAAAAATAGGCAAAAGAATGTCAAAGATAGCATGGGGCTGGTGGGAAATCCACCCCTAGGAAGAGGTGACCCAAGGAACAGCACTGTGCAGACTGAACTGGAGCAGAGGTGAGGCAGTAGGTGAACAGGGCCTCTGGGAGCCTGCAGACTCCTTAGTACCTTGTCATGTTTCATAAAGTACTCAATAATATCAGCCTCCAGCTCACTAGGGTCCTCCTGGGGCCCCTCAACAATCACCTCCTCGTGCTGCTGGGTGTTGCCGATGCCAGATGAGTCAACCTGCCGAACAACCTTGCGAATGATCTGGAAAAGAGGAGGAAGCCACTGAGACAGAGGTTGAGAACAGCAAGTCCTCACGAGTGAAATGTGGGAGAGAGACAGTCCTTGTCCTCCCACAAGAAAAGGGACTGGCCTCTGGCTGCCATGGCTTTGTGGGAAAGCTGCACTGGACCATATCAGAGGGCCCAGGATCTGTGAAGGGCTCCTGGTGGTTTTCACATAATGATCAGGTATGGCCACATGCAATGTGGTCCTAGCATTTCATGCTGCCTCTTGCAATGGATGGGAGCTTATGCTGCTTGTTCTACCTCCAGAGCCTCTATCTCTCTTCCATCTACAGCAATTCCATTCCGTCCATCCTGCCCCTCATCCATTCATCCAAATATAAAAATACCACTTACTCTCTGTCTGCCATGTGCTCAGAGCCAGAGATGAATGTAATAAGCCAGACATGGCCCCAGTCACAAAGGAGGAAGGATGGATGCAACCACATGGAAGCACAGGAGAAATCCTCTGTGCTCTTTGTTAGCACGGAGTGAACTTGACAGGCCAATCATGCCTACTGAAGGAATTATACACACCAAGTCAATGTAACTCTACATCCTTTGTATTAGAGGAGGCCCCTCGCAGGTTGGGGATAGTTACTCTATTCTCAAACAGCTCATTTTAAGGACGAGACATTGTGGAACTAGGTTTGGATGTTTCACGGGGACTGATCCTTCTGGAACAGGGCATCCTGAGCCATTCAGGCTGAATTGGGCACAGAGACTATGAGGACCTCTATGTGCTACTGCAGAGGACCAAAAGCTCTCAGCTCCTGAGTTGTCCCTCCTGAGCCATGGGGGTGTCCAGCCACAGCTGTGCTCATCCTGCTAGGGCAGCAGCAAGAGGAGTCTGCGAGTTGAGTTCCACCATCTTTCTAACTTCTAACCCCACCAGCCTCTCCCCAGTTCAGGGGACCCTCTGCACCTACCTTCTTGGTGACAATGTTGCCCTGCTCATCCGTGAATTGTTCCTCTGTCACCTGCTCCCCTGGAATATTCTGAAGCTCATCCCCCTGGAATTAGAAAAGGGAAACCCCCAAGATGGTAAGTGGGAGTTTGGGAAGAAGAGCAGCAGCAGTAACAGTCACATCCAACAAATCCTCACGGCCATAAGAAACTCAAGCTCAGCAAGTAGCAGCAGCCAAACCAGGGGCTCCCAGCTGTGGGCAGTGCCCCATGGGGCCACGAGGCCTGAGGCCAGGACTGCATACAGAGCTTGCAAGAGTCTGGGTGCTTTATCTTCACACCAGCAAGCAAAACAGGGATGAGTACACAAGTTTTAAGGAGGTCTTGAGAAAAAGTGGCGAGGCACCTGTTTTATAAGAACTTTACAGTTTAGATATCCAGCCACAGATAATGTTGCCCTGAATGTGACTTGCATGCAATCCCAGAGATGGCTGGTGACAGAAACAGATGAGAACAGGCCTCTTAAGTCCCAGACCTGAGCTCTTTGGGCAGCTATCCATGCTGGGTGCTAGGGAGGTTCTGAGCCCATGCCACACACAGTTCTAGCTCCCAACACAGAACACAATCCTCTCTTCCACAATCCTGGTCCTTCTCTTCCAACATGTCTTTGATCTGAGTTGGCGCTTCCCCCAGCTCCACCCTGCACACAGCACTGCAGTGTTCCCTCTGGTCCTGGCTTCTGGTCCTCCCTTTCAGCCCGATCCTGCCACCTGTCTGGCATTACCTTCAAGAAGACCCGCCGCCGGATTACCCTGGTAGAGACGGTCTCCTCGTCGTCACTCAGGCCCTCACTCTCCCCCAGCTCTTTGTCCAGCTCCTGGTGGATGTGCTTCAGCACAAAGTACAGGGAGCCCTGGACAATGTGCATCACGTTCTGACAGCTGACCAGGAAGAAACCCAGCAGCACCAGGGTGACCAGGAGTTGGGTGATGAAAGTCCACATCCTCACCTTCTTCTACCACCTCACCAGCCGGCCCTCGGGGGACCAGGGGAGCCAGGGGCCCGACCGTGGCCGAAAGCCAACCTCTCATGCTCCTCTTAGACTCCCAAGCCCCCCAGTGACCCTGTCCATCCTGTCTCTGTTCCTCTTTATCCGGTTGCTTTCTGTTCCTCACTCTTTCTATCTCTCTGAGCAGGACACCAAATGGCCCTTTTAGCTAGGACAGTGCAGCCTGAGTGCCCTTCTGCCCAGCGCGCAGGCTCTGCCCTCACTCCTGGATGACGTCAGGCTACTATAATTTCAGCTCCCAAGCCAGCTGCTGGAACTGTCCAACCCGGCTAAAAGGGAGCTGGCAGGTGCCACGTCCCAGGCTCTCTGGAAGCACACATTAGTCACCATACAGCAGGAATGGGGGGCTTCCTGCTGGCTCATTCCTATGGAAACCGGAGGGGTTCTGCCCTGGGAAAGTATCTTGTTTGGGAACTCTAGAAAACAAGTTGACCTGAGCTGGAGGCTACTCCTGTGACTCCATGGGCTGCTGCAGTGATCAGAATGATTTCATGGTGCTAGAGGGCTGGGACCAGCTGATACCCAGGATAGTGAAGGATTTATTTAAAAAAATAGACCCAGGGGTGAGTGATTTGCTCAAGCCAAGCCAAACAAGGAGGGGTTCAGTACAGGTGGTGAGGCCACCTGGAAAACCCATAGGCCTCAGTCCTTTTCTTTTCAGGGCACAGTAACCCTACCCTCCAGCATGGAACTGGTGTGTCTATTTAAGGCCTGTCCTCAGACTCTTCCTGTGCTAGGCTAGCACCCACTGAGCAGGAACCATGCATGTTACACTTGCGTTCACAGCCCTGATTCACAAATGCAGCTGCAGCAGCTGTGGCTGAAAGGAATTTCACATTCTGGGTCAGGCTGTTCCCCTTTTGAGTAGCAGCCCAGCCTGACAGGAAGAACAGGCTGGGGCACAGCAAAGTGGTCCCGCAACTTACCTACCATGGGGTCTTGGGAAGGCTGGGCCCCTCCTCTGTGCCTTGGTTTCCTTGTCCATAAAACAGAGATTATAGTGCTCTCCCCACCCCTTCTCAGACTGTGGGGAAGGACCACATGGCAGGTGAACACTAGCACTAGAAATAACAGGTGATCCCAGGCAGCAGTAGCACGCTCTGCTCTGCGGGCCTCGGTCCACGTGTTTTACATTTACTCACTTAAACCTCACTAAAATTGACCAATGGGTCAATTTTCCCATTTTACATAAAGAAGACAGGCAAAGAGAGTTAAAGTAACTTGCCAAGTTAAAGTGTAAGTGAGAATCAGATTTCAAACTCCTAGCCACTCCCCTCCCCAAATAACTTCACTTCAACAAGAAAGTTCCTGGAAAAACAGCAGCCCATGCAAAGGAGCTGGTCATGGGAGGACTTTTAGTTTTAGCGCAGCCAAGAAAAATCGAGGGGGTGGGGATGATCAGTGGCAGAACACTTGTGTGGCAGGCACATGACCCTGGATCGTGCTGTTTGAGCTGCAGCATGTGTACACAGAATCCGCCAGGTCCCCAGGGGACCCAAATCCCATATGACATGACATCACTCTATTGCTCTGTCACTGTGGTTAGAGATTCAACAAAAACACTAGCACATGAGAGCTTTGCAAGCCATTCTGGTCCATGGGCCTCATTATCATCCCTCGGGAGCCAGTCAGATGACTACGGACAGTGGCCAGTTCATCTGTCCAAAGGTTTCTAGACCACGGAGGCAATGGGGTCTCTATTTCCTGATTGGGCATGGCAGTCGTGCAATGTAGTCCCCTAAGAATGTGGGAGTAGAAACTGAGTGATTTGGATTCTATTGGTCCTAACATCTATCCATTATGTAGCCCTGGAGAAAGCCTGAGGCCTCTCCAGGCCTCAGTTTCTGCACTTATAATCCAGGTAGTTGGACACATGATTTAGAAGTGTTCTTTCTGTGATGCCCCTGCTGCCCTGTTTTCTCCTCACCAAGGGCTGACTGTAGAGGGCAGTGGGAAAGTGGAAAAGAATGATCCTGGCTTCCTTCTTTTTCTTGGGGGATTCAGAACAGCCCAAGTCAGGACCAGCTGTGATCTGGGTGGGGCACTTGTTCCTGGGAGTGGTAGGAGTAGGTGCCAAGCCTGATGGAAAAGCATGCCCTAGGTGGCCTGGAGTTAAAAATGGATGTGCCACCTGTCCCGCCCAAGTGCACATACTTGGCAGAGAAGCTTTCTAAATAAAACCCTACTTAATTCCTAGCAGTTCTTTATAGCCAGCAGCTCTGTACCACTGAAGAGCCAGCCTCCTTCTGTAGTCCCCAAAGGAGCTTTGCCTGGGCCAAGGTTCAGGGAGGAAGGAAAGAAACAACTATGATGGGGGTGAGACATGGTGCCCAGACAAGGCCTTGGTGATGGACCAAAATTGATGTGGAACACAATTTCAAAACATGCACAGGATGGCAGTGCAAATTTTATAACAACACATAAATCAAAGGCATACGTTAATAAGATATCTGAGATTTGCTTCAACACAGATGTAGGGGAGGGACTGCAGATGAAACAAGACTGGCAATGAGTAGGTAGTTGTGGGATCTGGGAATGTGGAGGAAGGAGCAAAGGGAATAGAGATAACAAAGCAGGCCAAACTGAGGGGGAGGATGGGGAAGGCAAAAGAAGAAGGGAAGAAAGGAGGGAGGGTGGAGAAAGGAAGAGGCTCAGGACAGCATGGATGAAGAGAAGGAAGCTGTCCCTATTCTACTGCCTCCCAATCCAGAGGTCATCCAGAGTCCCAGAAGTCCAAAGCCTGGACACTGGCAGTATTCCAGTCATTCCCTTGATCACCAATGGGGACAATAAGGTGCTGAGAAGAGGGTGGCTGGTGCATGGTCATATGACTCTGGGCTCCAAGTTCTTTCTAAGACATGATGGGCTTTGGGGTCACTCAGATGTCACTTGAGGCCCATGGAGTAGTGAGGCCTTGGGCAAGCTGCCCAGCCGCTCTGATCATCCATAGCCAAGTGGGCTACCATGTGGCTGTAGGGATGGGTGATAGCAACTGCTGTGAGCTCCTTCCCTTCTTAGTAGAGGTCAAGGGGCATAAAGGTAGACTTTGACCTTGTACACTTACTTCAAGAGAAAGCAAAGTCACCATCACAATTTCTAAAGAAAGGAAACATGCTTGGCTCAGGACTCAAGCACATGAGCTTCTGAAGCTGGGAAAGAAGAATGGAGGAGCTCCCCATGGGCTCTCACCTGTACCTCCTGGGAGAAGATGCTGCTGGCTGCCTGCACCCACTCTCCGGGGGACTGAAGGCTCTGTTCCCTGCCCGCCACGGCACTCTTAGCCCCTGGCTGCTCCACCCGCACGAGCTCACTTGCAGACACCAGCACCTTCTCATATTCCTGAGACCCACTGGGCTCCAGCTGCTGGATGGTGGTGACCTTTCTCTGGAATGAGTGTGGGCCTTGTGTGACCTCCGCTTGCCAGGAACCTTGTGTGGTATCTTGCAGGTGAGAGACCATGGAGCCTTGTCTATCCCAGTCCTGCAGTCTGGGGTCCAGATGGGTAACCGATGGCCAGGGAGAGAGAAAGGACAACTGGTCACTCTCAGTCTCTGTTCTCCAAAATAACACCCCTACCCCTCACCCAAGGGCCCTGGCTCAACCAGGACATGGCCTGTACTATCCTCCACCCCTAAGGGTCCAGAGAGTGTGAGCAGGTCATGCAGCTGACAACCCTGGTGGACAGAGCCTTGGGTATCAGTGCCACTGGCCCCCTTCCTTTAAGTGAGCTGCTCTCCTTTCTGAGCTCATGGTGATGGTCCAGACACTGGGGTTCTCACATACATCATCTTACATCCTCAGACTCTGCCCCCCACCTCTGCCCTCTAAGCACTCCCACTGCATAGTCCTCATCGGACAAAGTGACCACCTTCTCCCAGCAGACATGGTCTTCCATGGCTTTAAGAATACCATCCCTGACTGGTTCCTCTCCCTCTTTGGCACTCCTTCTCCAGAAACCTTCATTGGCTCCTCCTGACCTCCTGCTCATGCCATCCACACCATTGCTTAAGTGATCGAATTCCATCCCCAGCTTTACACGAGTCCGGGTGCTCATTGTGCCCAGAGCGTGTCTCCAGCTTGACTCTTTTCCTCAGACTTCAGATGTGTATATCCAACCACTCCTCTGCATCTTCACTTTGGGTCTGTAGTAGGCATCTCAAGGATGGCATGATCATATTCCTATATGGTCTTCCTCCCCATCCTCTCCTCTGCCCTTCCCATGGCACTCAAGTTGGGGAGGATAAGGGCCTCTTTGCCCTTGCAGTTATCAGTAGAGGACAGCAAGGCCCTCCCTCATTTTAGTCAGCAAATCTTTCTGGTCCAATTTTCAAAATGTGTCCTGAACCCAATCACTTCTCACCCCCACTAGCTGCCTCTCAATCTATATCACCATCAGCACTTGCTCCTGACACCTCCATGCTCCCAGCACAGCCACACCAGGCTCTTTTCAAGGCGACAGCCAGATCACATCTCACCTCTGCTTAGACTCCTCCATTGGTGCCCATCTGCCCAATTTCTGGGGGACCTCAGGTTCTGTCCCATTGCCTTCCTGGCCTCATTCTGTTCACTGCCCCACTGCAATGACCTTCTGTCATCCACAGGCTACATACTAGCTGGTCTGCTAGGCATCTTCTCCCCAGGACTCAACACGATTCACATGACTTGAGCAAGACAAAACTTCAGTCCTGCAGAGTTAAGTCTTGCTCAAGTTTGACCTCTGCAGGCCTTCTCTGGCCACCTTACCTGTAATTTCAACCTCCTTCTCTCCTCATGCATGCACAGCTCCTGTCTGCATCTCTGTTGTGTTTTTCCTTTTAGCACTTATCATTACCCAATATTTCTACTTTAATTACAGTCACCTCTTCATACCCAAGGGAGACTGGTTCCAGGACCCTCACGAATGCCACAGTCTGTGGATGTTCAAGTCCCTTCCAGAAAATGGCACAGAATTTGTATATAGCCTATCAGCATCCTCTGTACTTTAAATCATCTCTAGATCAATTAAAATACCTAATAGAATATGGTTCCTATCCTGTATTGTTTAGGGAATAATGATAAGAAAAAAGTCTATACATGTATAGTATGGGCACAGTTTTTTCTTAATATTTTTGATCCATGGTTGGTTGAACCCATGGATTTGGAATCTGAATATGAGGGCTGACTGCACATTTTATTTATTTTATCTTATTTCTTGTCAATTTCCCCACTTCAACAGGTAGATACATTTGTCTGATTTGTCAGTGCCCTTACTGCAAGCATCTAGGCACTTTTTATAGGTGTCTCCTTGCATACAGTAGGCGCTCACTAAGTACTGTCTCTGAGTGAAAGAAATTCACCTGTCCACAATGGATAGCTGACCAAGGTCACAGAGCCAGGAAGTTATACAACCAGGCTGCTCTGTTATAACAGAGCAGTGTCTAGCACACGGTAGGCATTCAACAGATGCATGTTAAACGAATGGCTACCACATTGTGTTGGAACACGGCCTCTCTCATGGGCATTTCACTGCAAACCCTCATGGGCTCATCTGTCCAATACTTCCCACTGATCAAGGGATTCATTTGGGAAACAAAATGAATTCTCTGCTGGCTTATGAATTTAAACAATGCTCTTTTCCCTCCCATGATGGTCAGCACTGAGTGGACCCTGTGGAATGGCCAGCCTACCAGTTGGTAAGCAGGGAAAGTGAGAGCAGTCCCCCTGGCCAGGCCATTCCTGAGCTCCTTGGTGGCTACCACCTTCTGGGCCATCTCTTTGCTTTAGGGAAAACTTATTAAGCAAAGTGGCATGCAGAAAAGAGCCTCTGTCCTTCATCTCCTTTGCCAGCTCAGGGAGGAACGCCCAGCTCATGTCTGCCTCATCCATGTTCTACCACAAAGGCTTAGCTCTTAAGACTTGTCTGGACTCAGCACAGTACTGGGGGTCCGACTGGTGTTCACTGCTATGAGAGTGGGAACTCAAAAGGCTTGGCCCTGGGCCTGGACTCCTAGTGTCTGCAGACGCCATGAGTCCTCGTGCTCAAACTGTTTCCCTGCCCTGCATGCACAGCGCCCTGTCTCAGCATAGTAGGCTGGACCGTTGCTTAACCATTGAAAGCTCTGTCCAGCCCAGATGTCACCTTCTCCTCTAGCCTCTCTTGTTCAGAGGGGATCTGTGGAGAGGCCACCATTGTCAGCTCTATCACATGTAGATCGTTTGTACTCAGACAGCTTCCCTGGGTCCTGGTGTTGCCAGGTGTCTAAAGATGGCCTTCAGCAGTAAGCGCAGGGTGGGGACAGGAGCCTGTAGCACCGCTCCTCAGCAGCATGTAGCACTACAGCTTCCCAAACCTGATGACCCATCTCCTAAGTATACTCTGGCTGTCTCAACACCTCTCAGTATCTCTCCTACTGGCCATACCCCAGAGGGAGAGGGATTGGCAGGGAACTAGTATTTGCAGATCACAGCTTGATTCTTTTGTACGGTGGCTGCAAAAGCAACTGGTGTCATACAGGACTTATTTGCTCCAGGGCATTTAGAAGTCATGGTCAGGGTCAGCTGCAGCATCTAGGCTTTCTCCCTTCTCACCCCAGGCACAATCTCACCCAGAAGCTCAGGAAGACAAAAGGGACCTCAGCCACTGCAGTCCAGCCCTTACCTGTTCTGGCTCCTCTCCAGCACCTGACTGGGCAAGTCTGTGGTTCGGGCATGTGCCCTCTGCTGGCCTGAAACAAGAGACACTTCAGTCTCTGAGTCCTGTCCTGCACCTGAGTCTTCCTGCCTCTTCTCTTCTGACCTCTGACCTTCCTCTTGGCCAAGCAAATCGGCAAGGCCATTTGTGGCATCTGAATCCACTGTGTCGTCCTCCACAAGGTCCTGAGAGCCCAGTTCCAGGCCCTGCGGCTCCTCTGAGAGCGCCCCCTCCAACTTCCACTCTTGTGTGGTGTCAGAGTCCTCGGCCTTGCTGCACTCCAGAGAGGAGTCCTCAGCAGTGACCAGGGAAGGTGTGAGACCTGCGGACCACACCCGCATGTCAGACATCTCCAGCATGGCGTCATGCTCCGTGGCCGCCAGGGGGATGGCGTCTATGACAGCCACCTCGTTCCAGTACTGGTCTGCACGCAGCGGAGAGGGAAGCGCGTAGTGCAGGGAGGCAGGGGACAGCAGCTCGTCCTGCAGTGAGGAGTAACCTGGAGGGGCAGACAGAGGGCAACATGCTCCAGAAGCGATTTTTGTCCCACACGCTCACGTGCAAGTCCACGCACACGCACGCACACAGGCACAGCCACAGAAAGGCATGCACGTTCGGGGCGGGGACTTTCCAAGCTCCAAGTCAAATACTCAGGCCTTGTGGCTGCTGCCAGGACCCCCTAGCAAGAGAGACAAGACTCTGAGCTGGGCAGGGGCAGCCAGGGAGGGTGAGAGGGGGCTCCTTTGCTAGATAGCAAAGAACCACGAATGGAATTCTTTCTTATCCAGTCCAGAGCACTAGATAAAGAAGGTTTTATCCAAAGGGCTTGCGCTCCAATCTGCCTCTGATCACATGAAAGCCCCACCTCTCCGCAGGAGAAAATATTGCTGGTTTTTTTTTTTTTTTTTTTGCTCAAACTTCACTTTTAGCACAGTCTTTAGGGTCCTGTTAGGAGTGTACCTTAAAAGGGAGAGTGTGGCCCACCCAGGACCAGGGTCAGTAACCAGGCTGCCCTATGGGGGTCTAGCAGGGTACACTGAACATCCACAGACCTCAGTGCGATGGTCAAATGGGAAACAGGCTTCTGGTTTGGCATGAAGTGACTTTTCCTCAAGTTGCATATTGGTTCCAGAAACTTTGAATGATCTACAGTGGCACAGGTGAGGGTTCTAAGGGTTCAAAAATGGGGGCAAGGTCAGAGGGCACCAGGCACTCTTGCCCTGCTGCTCTTTTTCCGCAGTCCCTGAGCTATCCACCCACTCCTCTATGACAACCCGGTGGGATGAGAGACGGCCAACTTGGCCTTGGATGTCTGGTCTAGAGTCACCTGGGCCTGCCCACACACCTGCTGCCTTCTCAGACATGAATCCCTGATGGTGATTTGCTTGGCTTTGACATGGGTTCCCCAAGGCCCAGAAGTTATTATGAGGTGTGTGTGTGTGTGTGTGTGTGTGTGTCTGTATCTGTATGTGTGTCTGTGTGTGCAGGGAGCCTTAGGGTCCATCAGGGGCTCCTCAGCCCTCCTCTAGCCAGGAGTTGAAAGTGGGCGTCTGATTCCTACCCAGAGTAGTCCTGTTTTGTGGAGGGGGAAAACACTGGAAGACAAGATTCTCCACTTGGCTCAGCTTGTCTGAGGAGCAAGGGAGCAGGAGCACATCTACAACTGGAGGATCCAGACCTTAGCCCCGCCTCCGCCGATCCTCCAGGATAGCTCCTTTGTGCGGCCTCCTCTGTGCTCTCAGCTCTGGGCCTCACACAGCTCTCCACGGCCTCTGCCTCTGTGGGTACTGTCTCCACTATCCTCATCCACCTGCTTGCTCAACTGAAAAACATTCACCGATGTCCAGTTTCATGCCAGGCCCTGTGCTAAAGGGCTGAGGATTACAAACACAAAAACACACGTATATACACAGACAAGATCTCTTTCCCGCTTTTTTTTTTTATGATGGCTTTTGGACGAGAACAACTTGGCTTGGTTTCCCTGACCTTTGAGCCTGTCCTATGTCCCCTCACTGGGCTGGTTCCCAGAACTGTAAACCCTTTGAGGATGGGCTACCTGCTTAGGACAGGACTGTGGACCCAATGGCCCCAGTGGCTGCTGCAGAGTTCTCTGTATTGTGAGGGGACACAGCCTCCAGAACAGAATGACCTCCTTCAGCTTCAGTGAACCACCATCACTAATATTTACCCATGGGTGCAGAGGGCCAGAAGCCAGGCCAGGTGCAAGACATCCCTTCTTTCTCTTCCTCTTCTCAGAGTTTTCCTCCTGACTGATCTCTTTCTACTAGTCTAAGTCCCAAAATTAGGGGGAAGGGAAGAGACCTTGACATGGTGGGGGCTGTGTGGTGGTAGAGACTAAGGGCAAGTCCTTTCACCTCTGGCCAAACCAGGAGGAATAAGGAGGCAGGAGGGCAGGAGAAATGGTAGGTCAGATCTTACCATGATATTAACTCCAGGTCACTGCATATGAAGCTGTGACCTGAGGAACTGGGAAGCCAGGGCAATGGCTTTCAACTCTCCCTATAAATCTTCCCATATGTACGAGCAGAACAAGTTAGAGTCATGGAATTGCTAATTTTCTTATTATTCTTGCAAGCAATATTACACTATCTACATTATTCATTGAGCATCTACTTAGCACAAACATATCTAACATGTATTTTTAGTTGTCATAACAACCCTATAAGGAGAGCAGTATTATTCCTTTATAGATTAAGAAACTAGAGTTTAGCAACTTGCTTAAGGTTACACAGTAAGTGTAGTCTTTTCACTAGATTTTACCATGAATCTCTTAAATTAGCTTTACTATTTTAAGAGAATAGTGGAATACAATAAACGCACATGTTTAAAGTGGATAATTTTGTAAGTTCTAACACAAGTATACACCTATGAAGCCATCAGCATAAGAAGAGAGCAGTCATCACCCCAGGCTTCCTCATGCAACTTTGTAATCTTCCCCTTCCCCCAACTCCCACTCACCCCAAACCATCCCCAGACAACTGTTTATCTGCTTTTTGTCACTAATAATTAGTTGGCATGTCTTAGAGTTTTATATAAGTGAAACCGTACCATTTGTACTCTGTTTTTGTACAGAGGGGAGGGGAGTCTGATTTCTTTCACTCAGCCTAGCCATTCAGGGTTGATCTGTGCTGTTACACGTACCAATAACTCATGCACATTGTGGCTGAACTGCATCTCATTGGATGGGTCCACCAGAATTTGCATCTCTATTTACTTTTTGCTAATGGACATTTGGATTGCCTCCCGTTTGTGGCTACTACAAATAATGCTGCCAGTTTGCAGAAACACATGCTGTCTTTTCTCCTGGGTGAATTCCTAGAAGTAGAATGACTGGATCCTACAGCAGGTATGTATTTAACCCTCTAAGAAAGGACTACAGTGCTTTCCCTAGTGTGGTGGTGCCACTTACAGTCCCACAAGCAGAGTCTAGATCCCATCAACACTTGGTATGATCAGCTTTCTAAATTTTAGTTTTCTTACAGAAGTGCAATGGTATTTCCTTATAGTTTTAATCTGTACTTCCCTCAAGACTAATGCCTCTTTTCCATCTGTAGATATTCCGGGTTAAGTGCTGAAATCTTTTATCCATTCTAAAAATTGAGTTGTTTTCTTATTATTGAGTTTTGAGAGTTCTTTAAACACTCCAGATACATCTTGTATCAGATGACATTTGCTAATATTTTCTCCCAATCTGTAGCTTGTTTTTTCATTTTCTTAAGTGTTTAATTGTGATGAAGTCTAACTTATCAATTTGTTCTTTTATGGATTACACTTTTGTTGTATTTAATAAATCTCTGCCTTCTCCAAGATTTCTAAGTTTTTTTCTTATGTTTCCCTCTAGCAGTTTTATAGTGTTAGGCTTTGTATTTAATCTATGATCCATTTTATTTTTACATATATTGCAAGGAATGAATCCAAGTTCATCTTAGTTTAGATTTTTTTGCATGAATGTTCATGAAGAATATTAGTTTGCAGTTTCTTTTTCTTGTAATTTTGTTAAATACCAGAAATGATGGTCTCATATAATTAAATGGAATGTGTTACCTTCCTTTAAATTTCCTAAATGAATTGTTTCTTCCTTAAATGTTTAGTAAAATTACCAGTGAAGCTATATGGACTTGAAGTTTTCTTCATGGGAATGTTTTAAACTATATATTTAATTTCTTTTATTTATGTAAGTCTATTCAGTTTATTTCTTCCTAAGCTTTAATAGTTTGTGTCTTTCAAGGTTACATCAATGTCATGTATGTTTTAATTTATTCAAATTGTAATATTCCTTTATTATCCCCTTAATATCTACAGAGACTGTAGTGACGTCACTTCTCTTATTGCAACACTAATCACTTTTGTCTTCTCTTTTTTCTGATCAGTCTGACTGGGGATTTATCAATTTTTTTGACCTTTTCAAACCAACAGGTCTTGATTCCATTGATTTTCTAAAAGGTGTTCCTTTCAATTTCATTGACTTACACTCTTGGCCTTTGTTGTTTCTTTTCTTTTCCTTCGGTTAAATTTGCTCTTTTTTTCTAATTTCTTAGGGTGGAAAGTGGGGTTTGGAGAGCTCTCATTGCTTTGCTTTTTGCTTTTTCAGACAGTCTTACTATGTAGCCTAGGCTTGTGTTGAACAAAAGTGTTGCTTCTGCAGGGATTACAAGCATGTACTGCCATGCCTGGCTACATGTTTTCTTTTCTAATGTAGGCCTTAAGTGCTTTAAATTTTTCCTAAGTACTGCTTTAGTGGCATCCCATAAATTTTGAACCTGTGTGTTTATTTTCATTTGATTAAAAATATTTCCTAATTTTTCTTTTGTTTTACTCTTGCCTATGGATTATTTAGAAGTATATTATTTCATTTCTAAATATTTGGGATTTTCCAGCTATTATACTGTTACTGGTTTCTGACTTAATTACAGTATTACCAAAAAACATACTGTATATGACTTGAAACCTTTTCGATTTATAGAAACATATTTTAATGTGTTATTAGCTATAACTTAATATTTTAGTTTTTGCTTTAGGGCTTA